TATATAGAAAACAATTGGCTGTACACAAAAAACTTTTTTAAGAAGGTACACACCAATACCTTTATAGATTTAACCAGTTGACCATCACCCCCCTATGGCTAAAAAGTGTACAAAAAAAGCCATCTTATTAGACTAAAGCAAAACTGCACGGATAATCACGTATTTATACAACAAGCTTGTGACCTTAACCCCTTCGCGACCCAGGACGGTTCAGGACCGTCATCGGCATTTTCCCATTGCTGACCGATGACGGTCCTGAACCGTCCTAACGGTGCAATGTACTTACCTGATCGCCGTCGTTCCCCCGGCGGCGATCAGCGTGGCTCCGGTTGTGGGGAGACTGCCTGCAGCCCAGACAGTCTCCCCACACTGAATTAGGACCCCTGTGGCCATGTGATCGCTTAACACAGCGATCACATGGTCACAATAGGTGTCCATGTGTCTGCCTGCAGGGGGACTGCCTGTGCTGACAGGCAGTCTCCCTGCAAGTGTAAAATCATTAAAAAAATAAAGTTAATGTTAATTAATAAAAAAAATTATATATGTGTATATGATATATATCATATATATAATGTCATACTAAGTGTATTTTTATATTAATATGTACTTATATTAATATAAAAATACACTTATAATTAAATTACACACTTATATATATAATATATATAATAACTATATATATTGTATATATATATTATTATAAAATATAAATAATAAGTAATTTAAATTAAATAATTTTTTTTTAAATAATAATAAAAATGTAAAAAAAAATTATATATCTATATGAAATTTTATTCTAACTGTATTTTAAAATTAATATATATATATATTTATATCAAAATACACTTAGAATGAATTTGTATATATATCTATGTATATAAAAATAAATAAAAAATAATAAGAAATATACATATGTCCATATACAAAATTACATAAATAATTATATAAATATACACATAGACTTCAAATATATAAATATGCATATATATTTAAATTCTACGTGCGTATTTATGTAATATTTTTACATAATTCAGTAATTTTATTGATTGCAATTTGAGGGACCTGCCTGCCAACCCAGGCCAAAATTCCAGAGAATTTAATTTGCTAGCACTGTATTTTACCCTGTAACGTTCTACGACACCCTAAAACCTGTACATGGGGGGTACTGTTTTACTCGGGAGACTTCGCTGAACACAAATATTAGTGATTCAAAACAGTAAAACATATCACAGCGATGATATTGTCAGTGAAAGTTACTTTTTTTGCATTTTTCACACACAAACAGCACTTTTACTGATGATATAATTGTTGTGATACGTTTTCCAGTTTTTAAACACTAATATTTGTGTTCAGCGATGTCTCCCGAGTAAAACAGTACCCCCCATGTACAGGTTTTATAGCATTTTTGAAAGTTACAAGGGTCAAATATATGGGTCAAATATTTTTACATTGAAAATGGCCAGGTTGGTTACGTTGCCTTTGAGAGCGTATGGTAGCCCAGGAATGAGAATTACTCCCATGATGGCATACCATTTGCAAAAGAAGACAACCCAAGGTATTGCAAATGGGGTATGTCCAGTCTTTTTTAGTAACCACTTGGTCACAAACACTGGCCAAAATTAGCGTTCAATTTAGTTTTTTTACTTTTTTCACACACAAACAAATATGAATGCTTACTTTGGCCAGTGTTTTCGACTAAGTGGCTACTAAAAAAGACTGGACATACCCCATATTGAATACCCTGGGTTGTCTACTTTAAAAAAAATATGTACATGTGGGGTGTTATTTAGAGATTTATGACAGATAATAGTGTTACAATGTCACTATTGATAAATTTAAAAAATGTATGTTTTGAAACCTCAATATCCTACTTGTACCTATAGCCCTATAACATGCAAAAAAAAGCAAAAAAGCACATAAACACAGGGTATTTTTAAACTCAGGACAAAATTTTGAATCTATTTAGCAGTTTTTTTCATTCGCTTTTGTAGATGAGTAAAAGATTTTTCAAGTAAAAGTAAAAAACATGTATTTTTTTCAATTTTTCATCATATTTTTTTATTTTTTTTAAATTAAAATACATGAGTTTATATAAATAATGGTATGTAAAGAAAGCCCCTTTTGTCCTGAAAAAAACAATATATAATTTGTATGGGAACAGTAAATGAGAAAGCGGAAAATTACAGCCAAACACAAACACCACAAAAGTGTAAAAATATGCCTGGTCGCAAATGTACAACATCGCAAAAAAGGTCCAGTCCTTAAGGGGTTAAAGAAAAAAACTTAAAGAAAGGAATTATAACAAACAGGAAATTGACACTCTAATCACAGAAACAAATCAGCTTAATAGAAACCAACAGCAGCAATACCATAACACAAAAAAGAAAAACATTGACCATAACAGTTGTTTTAGATTTTAGTAATAAAAGTATGAAAATGAAAAAAAAAAATCATAAAATAAACATTAGGGGATATCCTAAAGGAATACAAGATCTTAAAAAAACATTTTACCTAATAAACCCCCAATCTTTTTTTTAAGAGGAGCCCCTAACCTTAGAATGCACCTCACTAACAACTATGCCAAGAAGGTCAGCTCTAATAAAGTACCTTTAGCCAGCAAAAAGGTTTTTATAAATATAAAAGCCGCTTAGCATGCAGAAACACTAATAATGAAAATGCAAAAACCTTAACGTTAAAATCCACATAGTCTTCTCAGTAATAGCTAGGTGACTGTTTTTTTCTTTTTAGTTTGCATGTTATTTAAACAGGACAGGTCCAAGAAACTGTGACACTTTGAAAAAGCCTAATTCTTAGGTGAAACGTGTTTGTTTTATTATGCTTTCCAATAAAACTAGTTATTTTATTTTGGGGCTTCCTACTTGCATCTTTGAAGATTTTAATCGGAGGATTCACAAAGTTATTTCCTTGGTGGGGAATATACCACCTGACCTACGCCTATTAGGATCGAGCAATACTGGTTATTGCTCTCCTCTTGTGTGTATACCTCCTTTTCATCTATTTTAAATTATACAGAGAACACTAGATTGTGCTTTTAGAATTTGCATATACCAATAACCTTTGACTACTACACTGTGGAAAACTGAAAAAAGACATCTCCAATACTACCGAAGACGCCGTTCCGCATACTACCACCAACTTATCCATAGACAGGGATTGCACCGTCCAAGCGCATATCTCTGAAGCCAAGCACGGGCTCCAGATAATTGTAAATGCATTTTGTTTTATATATTAACACCACTTTTGAATATACTACACTATATCCCGCTTTTCTCCCTTTGTTCCCTATATTGGTTTACCCTCCCCGAAGGTGCTGCTTTCCTTCATTTCCTTTCATAATATATATATATATATATATATATATATATATATATATATACACACACACACACACACACCCCCCCAACAGGGTGAAAAGATAATGTAATTACCTACCAGACACCAGGGCACCTAACAATAATAACCATAAAAATACATGTTTCGCTACAGTTACCCCCGAGATTCTTACATCCGGCATAGCTGTGATCAAGGATTGTAATCAGTGGAAAAAGCGTTCGGATGGGAGTTGTCTAGCCTGAGTAATCATGGCTGCAAGTTTAACTAGGCCATCCTCCGATCCGACATTCAGAATATTTGCAGGGAAGTCCCGGTCTCTGATAATTGCTCTGTTAAGTGCTTTGTGTCACCAGACGCCTCATCTCCTTTCCAAACAGCGCATTGTTTGGTGGTCCTGGGACAGAGAACTACCTCAATGAAGTGTGACCGGACCGCAGTACTCTCACGATCAGAATGATAGTTCCATAAAGTTTCTGGGTAGCTCTGGGGCGATGTACCTGACAGACCTATTGGTGAATCCCTTGAAAGTCTTGAGGTGGGTGTTTGGGCTCCCTAGTTGGGAGTTACAGCAGGGAAGGGTTTGGTATTCGGGAAAATAGCTCTGTTGTGGTGCAGGTGACTAAAATCTGGTACCAGTTGTTAAAAGTGACTCAGCAATTACTCACATTTACTAAATAGTGTTTTTCATTTGTATTTTTGCAGTGGAGTTTCCCTTTAATGCTTTTCAAACATATGTCATCAATAATTTAAAAGATAAGAAGCTTCTTGTATACTTTGCCATGAAAAAAAGTGTTGTTTGATCACACACTAGGTTAGTATTGGTCTTGAAAAATTGAGGTTGTTGAGGCAACCACAGATCTATGGGTGGTCTGCACAATTCTGTTCAAGCACTCTGGGCACCTTCCATGTTCAATAAATAGAATTTTCAAGATGGGAAAATGTAATCTTGCCCATGTTACTGCAAGTATCAGGTGAATTTATTTTCTGAAGATCGTATGTACTGGATACTGAATGCTGATGATATGTAGGGAATTTCCATCATCTGTGTGATTGTTTTTCTTGGGAAAAATTGTTCTGTCTCAAAGAAAAACCTTGTAATACATAGAAAGCATCCTCGTGATCAGTGGCGTACACACAACCCATGGGGCACTGGTGCGAAAACTGATCCATGGCCCCCCACGCACTCTTACTCTGGCGGGCACACATGGCTGCGACCGCGGTATGTACGCTAGTGCATGCAGATATACATACACTTAAAGCACCACTACAGACACCGAGATCACATCAGCTCAATGAAGTGGTCTGGGTGCCAGGCCCCTCTTTAACCCTGCAGCTGAAAACATAGCAGTTTCAAAACTGCTATGTTTCACTGAGGGTTAATCCAGCTTCTAGTGGCTGTCTCACGACTCTCACTGAGAAAATCACAGTGAGAAGAAGCTGAACGTCCATAGGAAAGCATTGAGTCATGCGTTCCTATGGGCGGTTTGAATGCGAGCGCGCATTCGGAGCTGAGAGATCCCCAGCGCCAAGGGAGTCCAGCGCTGGAGAAAGGTAAGTGCTTAAGGACACATGACATCTGTGACATGTCAAGATTCCCTTTTATTCTAGAAGTTTGTCCTTAAGGGGTTAAGACACACACACACACTCTCACGAACAGATGCATACACACTAGCTAACAGACACGCACATTTACTGACAGACACACACTCAGTGACATACATACACACTCACTTACAAAACACACACTCACTAACAGACACCAAACAGACTCACACACTAACACACTCACTGACACACTCTAACACACACACACGGTTTTTTTAAATTTAATCCCACAGCCTCCTTACCTTTGGGATTGCTGAGGAGATCCCCTGGTGTCCAGTGGTGTTGCTGGGCAGCCGGTCACCTTCGTCATGACGTCATCTTCCGGTTCCGGTATCGGAGCGGTGTGCAAGGGAGCTGAACAGGGAGCACTCAGGGGAGAGTGCTCCCTCGCGCGCCTGCCAGGTGACAACAGGGCCAGCCTCGGGGGGCCCTGAGGTGGCCAGCTCCTGGGCCCCCCAGGAGAAGAGGCTGGCCACACTGGTGTGCATACCGGGTCGCAGGGCGGCCAGGACCCCTGGTGGGCCGGGCCCGGTTGCAGCCGCGACCCCGGTATGTACGCCACTGCTCGTGATATCTGTAATTATTTTTCAACATAGCACCACATGAAAAGTGTGTGTGTTCATGTGCCTGTCCCCCCTCCTCTATCTGAAGAATATATATATTTATCTTTATTGGTGACTGGCCAGAATGGAGTACTGGAAAATTTTCAACTTGGTAATGGTTTATGTACACATTGCTTTTCCTGTTTTAGTACAATTTGACAATTTACAAGGAGATTCTGGGAAACTAGCACTCAGATTGATGCAGAATTGTCCAAACGACACACAAAGTTTCGCCCAACCACCACAACAACCTTGGCCGAAAAGAGTTCCATGCAGTCAGAGTCAATCCTCTGTAATTTACCGGGCGCAATATCTCAGTGGAAAATAGGAGCTCCTTGGTGGTTTCCCAGAGCGACAGAAGCTTCCCTCCAAAAAGTGCTCTTCTGGGTTGCTGGGCAAGTGAAGGTGCAAGATGACCGGGAAATCCCCAAATAAGTGGCTGGAGTTCCTGAGCAGTTTTACGCTGGTCCCTCTAATTGCATCTGGACATTCCGTCTCTCAGTGAAGGTCCAAAAGTTTAGGGAACAGGACAGGGAGGTAGCAGCTTAGTGGATCATAGTCTTTTAGGAGTGAGTTCATCACAATTGGTACTCGTTAGAAGAAGAATTTATTCATAGGATAAATATATATAATCTTTCAGGTTTATAAATTAATGGTAAGACTCCATCTTGAATATGCAATAAAGATTTTCTTATTTGGGTGCAGTAATTTGAAGAAATAAGTAGGCTGGGTGCCTTCCTTCCTCGCATTCCTAACTTTGTGTGGGCACCTGACTTGTTATCAATTTATAGAATAGACACAAAATAAATTAATACAATGTTTCTGCAATCACTACCACGAATGATGGGAGGTAACCCTGTTGTAGATAAATACTGCTCATTTAATGCAAGCTGTTAATGCACATGTAACCTTATTAAAAAGGTAATATACTAGATTTATATATTTTTTTTATTGGACACTTTGTACAATGAATACGCTTGCAGCATAAATAGTGTAAAAATTATTTATTGAAAAAAAGCACAAAAATATATAGAATTCTGTAAAACAGCTGTGGTCCGTAGCACAGGACTGTTGAGCATTAGTTAAAATATTCTGTATCATCTTACAACACCCTATTTCACCACCATGTACTGAGTGCACACAAGGTGATTCCCCTCAAAAATATGGCTAACCATTACGCTACGAGATAGAGACCCCAACTGACTTTCTTAAAAAGAATGGAGCCTCTTACATTTAGGTCTCATTAATAAAACCATATTAACATACATATTACACAGTGTTCTGCTGCCATTTTTTCTTTAAAATAATCTTTAGCGCATAAAATGAATGCGGCACCTTTTGACTGGTTACAGAGATGTTTCAGTCAGATTGCTAGGGATATATTCAGAAAAGATTGTATTGACCTTATAAAAACAGAGGTATAACATTATCGTAAGATGTTGTAACACATTTAGTTTTTTTAATGTAATTTGTTCATCGTGTTCTTGTGACAGTTTACATGGCTTTTGATCACTTGTCACTTATTAAGTCTAAACTATAATCTTCCAAAATATTCCATGTGAGTGGGAGGCATACTCCTTTTTACTCATTCTTCTCAAAGTGTGGAGATGGCCAACCTTTGCAAATCCCTTTGTTTGTGGACTACATATACAAACATTTGGGCTCCTAAGATTAACCATCTCTGGTTAACCATCACTGACCTAGATATAGAATACTGTAGTAACAATTCTGTGAGTGTTGAACTTAAGATGTTACATTCAAAGCAGTAAGGCTGTAATTGTATTGTAAAACACAAGTGCGGCTGGTTTCAAAATTAAGTATTGCTCAGGCACGTAAACAAATTCTAATTTCCTGCTTAAATAGATAAACAATATACACTCTTCTATTAAATAGCCATTTGTCTTTAATTACATATAGCTGTACATTTCCACACTTGTAGAAACAAAAAAATGGCAGACTGATTTCATCTTCTGGAATGTCCTAAAATGTATATAGGGGAGGTTGGGGTCGGGTGTCAACGTGAATATTTTCATATACGAAAATACATTTTTTTATGATGTACTGTTGCAATAAATACTTGTTGCTTTTTGGTAGGTAGAATTCAATTTCCATATTAGATTTATCTATAAATTTGTAACAGTGACAGGGAAACCAAAAACATTCAGAAATGTTTTCTAAATGCACACAATAAAGAAACCAAACAGCTATAAATGATCATAGGACCATAATTTTCACATGACATGTAACCTATATATGAAGAAGCATGGGAGGTGCAACTCCCTCATGGACATTTGGACTGAACCGTTGGAGCTAAAAAACAAAATGAACCTGTAACGCAAATGATTAATTTAGAATTATAAAATAACTTAGCACCCAGACATTTCTCCCTTATTTAAAATACAAGCAGTGACTGCCACAACGTTAGCCCATCCATAAGTAGGAAGTAAAATTAGCACATATTAAAAACAGTATCATGCCATCAATCTTATGTTTACAAGAACAACGCAAATCCAATTAGCAGCTCAGTTGTCAGCTAGCGGTACCAGTTTCTGCTTTTAGCACATCCATATATATTTATTAACCCAGGAATGAGGCTGTATTGATATTTAAAAGTACCTTGCGTCCCACACACAGATCTAGCTCAGCTGCCAGTAGGGATGTTCCTTTACAATATATTAAATTGTGGGGAATGGCTGTGAGATTGTGTATCAGCACAGGTAAACATGGGGTCTTTAAATATCATTATTTTGCCATGAAAACAGTCAATAAATACCATGCTTTCTCATTTGATCATCGTATGATTCTTTGACCCAAACACCATAAATGCTGGCTGGTGTGTTCCTTATGGATGGTGGAGATAGGCAACTAAGGTGTCATAGCTCATCACGGGCAGCATTGTCAAAGGGAGAACGTAGGGAAGGTGTATTCAGGGCTTCACTGCGCAGCTTTTCTTGTTGTTGGGTCTTCTGGGATTTAGCACGATCCCAATCAGTGGGTTGTGTCACGTTGTCCCACAATACTGAAGTTTCAGTGTCACTAATATAGCCTTCATCCCCAGTGTAATGCGTGGGATACAGAAGGAGCGGTTCCACTGAGAAAGCACGCAAGTCCCGGGTTGAAAATTGTTCAGAGTAATCAGAGCTGCAAAAAGAATCAAAGTAGACTGTGATAATGTGACACGAGATCCTAGCACTCAGAGATAAAACAACATGTTATTAAACAATATGCCAGACACTAAATTAGTATTACAAAGTGGTTCCCATAATCACTTAACCAAGACCTATATTGATTTAAATATTTAGATATCCACACCTACAAACGGTGTGCTAGCAGAAGAATTAAAAACTTTTTTTTTTTTAATTCCAAAACTGATTAAAGGGATACTACAGTCACCAAGACCACTTCAGCTCAATTAAGTGGTCTGGGTGCCAGGTCCCCCAGGTTTTAACCCTTCACATGTAAACATAGCAGTTTCAGAGAAACTGCTATGTTTACATAGCAGGGTTAATCCAACCTCTAGTGGCCGTCTTCCTGACAGCTACTAGAGACGCATCTGCGACGATGGATGCGAAATTCGCATCCAGCGTGCAGAACGTCCATAGGAAAGCATTGAGAAAACTTGTGAGCGGACATCGACAGGGGAGGAGAGGTCACCAGCGCCGAGGGAGCCCGGCACTGGATTAAGGTAAGTAGCTGAAGGGGTTTTAACCCCTTCATCGCCAAGGGAGGGGGCACACTTAGGGCACTATAGTGTCAGGAAAACGGGTTTGTTTCTCTGACACTATAGTGATCCTTTAAGACATAGACATTGCTTCATTCATTGTGATGGTTGATTATGATATGAAATTCTTAGACAACATGGACATTACATTGTTTCCATGGTGGTTGCGCAGATTACAGAACAGATTTGTGAAAACAGATATTGCCTCAAAAAGCAGAAAAAAATAAATAAACCCACCACAACACACTCATAAGCAGTACTGGTCTATGACACCCAGTAGACCCTATGCCCTGGGAGGATATGGCTACCCATCCACTAATCGGTTCTCTAACTAAATTATAACTATATCATGACAAAGTTCCTGTAAAAAAATATTCTTGTATTATAGTTTCATAAACTGGAGGTGAACTCACAAAATGGTCTTCGTGGAGTCCTACCTGACCTGTGAATCGGGTTGACCATCGAATGCTTTATTTTATATCAAATGTTCCATTCTTTTTTTTTTTTTTTAATTAACCTATGGGAAATTTGATTACCTTAGGAAAAGGAAGTAATATTCAGATTAAGGAATTACAACAAACTGTTGTGATTGTGCAGTTTCTGCCACTTAATATATAAAGAATGCTCATATGATCAAGGTTTCATTGTTTGACTGTTTATCTGATTGATATAAGCTGTATATTGTAGGAGCAAGTAAAAGTGGTTTTCACCTGAAAAACAACAAATAATCCAATAAGTACTGAAACCAGTGGTGACCGAAAAGGTATCTCCCTCTCTCTGTACAGAACTCATTATTTTTAGGCAGATGACCACACAGGGTCCACTTCTGTTGGTCAACAGAAAAAAAGCGGAACACTATAGAAATAACTGGCACATTATCACCAAAACTGGACAGTACAAGACAACACTGTATTGTCTGTCAAATTACTAGTTCCTTT